CACATTATGGCCACCTCAGGACCTTTGAACATGCTGTTCTTATTTCCTGAAATGCTCTCTCCCCAGTTATCTGGCTTACTCCTGGTTTACTCAGCTCTCTGTCTAAACGTTACTCAGCTATAAAGGCCTCCCTGAAACAACTTATCTAAAGCAGCATTATCCATCATCACCTCTCCATCTCCTTATCCTGCTTTACATCTTTTTCCATTACTTATTGCTACCTGCCATGATTTTTACTGTTTGTTCATTGTTCTCTGACATGGGCAGGGAGTTTTTACCACTATCTTCCAGTACCAAATATATTGCACAAAGTAGGCACTTAAAAAAAAAGTCCCTATAAATGAAATACAATTTGCACATGGGGAATCTCTAGCATAGGTTTAAGCTGTGGCCAAACCCCTTTCTAAAGCACTTATTTCTTCAAACTGCAGCATTCACTCATGTTTTATGCCCAGCTAGTGATCCCAGACAGAGCAGAGAAAAGTTGTTTGTAGAGAAAGAGCAGTCAAGGCTGGAGAAAGAACTGTGTCGCGATGCTGGACTTTGTTGAAATTCATCAGAATAACATGTTACTGGTTTGGAAAAGGCATTTATTTTCTTGGTCACCCAATCATACAAGGGATGATCTTCCAGACAGTAGGGGACTAAAACCAACATGCTACAGAAGCACCCTTAAAACAGCAATGAGTTTAAAGAAGTTATTGGAACCTAAGCTGAGAGGAACAGCCCTTCGGGTATGAGTCAAGTTCGGGAGGAACGAGAACACAGTCTGGACAGCCACCTCCAGCCCTCTCGGTTCCAGCCCTGTTGCACTTCTTCCACTTACTTTCTCTGAGCCTCATTCACCAGAGAACCGGCACCAGCCTACGCCAGAGAAATCACAGAGGCAGAAAGAAGTCTCACTACCCAGCCACTTCCAGATGGTTCTGCCGCAGAGGCAGCCCCACCACAACACTTTGGCTCTTTTTTATTTTTTCCACGTCCACGTGTTCAATGATATAAAAGCCACGCATTGTACTAGAGATTGAACCCAGGGCCCTTACAATAAGCTAGATCTTCAGCCCTTTTCATTTTTTTGTTTTGTTGGGACAGGGTTTTGCTAAATTGCCCAACCTGGGCTGGAACTTGTGATCTTTCTGCCTCAGGCTCCGATATGCTGGGGTTATAGGCATGTTCCACAGCTCCCCGCAACACTTCGGGTCTCCGAAGGAGCCCCACATCCTGTGAAGAACACACCAAGTCACACGTTCACCCATGGCCGCAGTCTCCCCCACTCTGACCCATAGAGAAGAAGGTGTGACTTACAGAGGAGCAAGCCCAGTGCCTCCTTGTCCCAGGTCCTTTCCCACCTCAGCTTGTAAGTCCACTACCTGTCTGGTTCCTGTGACACCCACACAGTCCTCTTCAAACAGTCGTATGCCTTTGTGAATTAACCTTTGTGACCAGTGTCAGCCCTATGAACTGTTTCTGAAATCCAATTCCAATGAAGAAAATAACGGTCTAGTATCAAAAGACAGACAAAGAAAGATAGAAACAGAAAGAAAGTGAGAGAGAGAGAGCAAGAGAGAAAGAGGGAGAGAGAGGAGGGAAGGAGGGAAGGGAGAGAAAGCAGGCAGGCAAATAAGTGAGCCTTCCTTACTCCCACAGATGTTTTTAGTCAGGAAGTTGTTCCAGTGTCTAATCCTATTCCTTCTTGAATCAACAGAAGACTCATAGGTCTCCACTGTCACTGGAAATGGAGAAAGGTCATAAATATTGTCCATATTAGAGATCTTCAAATACTTAAGGGCCCTTTCTCTTCCCTGTATAGAATAACCAAGCTCTTTTCTTGAAGTCCAGGGCAATCATCCAATTTGTTTAACTGTCCCATTGACTTGAAAAAACTGCAAATTTAAATGAGATTTTAAAATGCTATATTGCTGCAAGTTCTGCTCCTAGAGAACTTACACTTGTCTGATTATTAAAACTCTTTGCCTGTTACATTTTAAGCAGAGCAGGGAGCGAGAAAACAGTTGCCTTTGTGAGCATCTGTCGCTGCTGACCCTAGGTTACCTCCAAAGTGTATGCTTGCAGCATTTACCTAAAATTATTAAGTGCTCCAGTGACATTATTACAAGAAGGGGCAGGAGGAGTGTCAACCTAATGAGGCGGCAGATGATATCTGCTGGTCTCCATCTGCACATGTGCACAGGCCAGGCCGTGTGCTAATCAAGGCACCAAAGGCCCTTCAGCCTTGGACAACAGCAGCCTTTGTCTACACCTGAGAGGAAAGTGAGCTGCCTTCTTTCTAGTGCTAATAAGTTGAGTGGAAAAGGGGTTATGTTCCATGGGAAAACCTGGGCTCTCCCCTTCCAGGGCAAAGATCCAAAGCGAGGGCCTCCAGCAGGCCACAACCACCCCTTCCAGAGTTCAGCTGGAACCCCTGGGCTGCACAGCTGACTTTTCATGGTGCTTGACAAGTAATGGGTCTCTGTGAGTAAAATGAACTATCACTAGGATTTATACCTTATTCTAGTAATCAAAGCAAAAAGAGGAATACACTGGTTTACATGTGTCTGTATGTACACAAGATAGGTAAGAACATTACTTAGAAGAGAAAATGCTGCTAATATGTTGAGCACATGCATCAGTGCATGCTTAAAGTCCTCTGCTGACAAGACATGTAAAAGGCCAGTGCTCTGTGTTTTACTCACTAGGTGGGAATATTCGTGGGTCACCGAGCAATGTTCCCATCCACACCTGCTTAGGTAGCAAAGACCAAGGTCAGTAGCCCTTCTCTACCTCCTTACCAGCCAACATGAGTGCCCTACGGGGACTCGTTCATTCACACTGGCTGGCTGAGGCTGGAGCAAGATCACATGTTTCCCATGGCAGACAACTCCCACCGAGGTTGAATTTGGTGGTCAGACTCCACTTGTTAATGGTGTGCAGCTAATTCTAGGCTTATTTGTTCCCCAGGCACACAGTTACCAATAACTATGTCCATGTATTCAAATAGCGATGTAGGGCCGGGGAATTAACTCAATGGTTCCATCGCCTGCCTCGCAAGAGCAAGGTTCCAAGTTCAATCCCCGGTACAAAAAAAGAACAGTGATATAGATTATAGTGAAGAGACCATGACTGATATATATAGATATCTATAGATCTATAGATATCTATATATATCTATATCTATATCTATATATATTTTTTTTGTACTGGGGATTGAACTTGGGTCCTTGCACTTGTGAGGCAGGTGGTGGAACCACTGAGCTAAGTCCCCAGCCCTGATTGATGTTTTAAAAACTAATTTCATTGAATGTTGCCACATATACTCTTTCAAACCTGAAGGAAAGAAGCCAACCTATGCAGTCCTAGCTTCTTAGCAGCATAAATAGAAATTTAGAGAAGACTTCCTGGATTTTGGAATTTAATGATTCTCTACAAAGCGTCAGCCAGGATGAGGTAAAACAGATAATCTTACATGCTATTCAGCGCAGAGACACTTTTACACTGCTCCAGAAAGAGTGTACTGTATTAAGATTTAAATATGTGTTCCTTTGACCCAGCAATTCTACATCCAAAAATCTGTTATAACAAAGTAATAGAATATTTCTTTACAAAATGCACAGATTAATGTTATGGGGACCTGTGTATTATTTATGAAAAAATATTATCTATGAAAAATGAAAAAAAAACCTACAGGTCTATGAATAGAAATCTGGTTAAATAAACCATGCCATATTTAAACTATTATTTCACTGTCAAATACACAAATATTTATTGAGCATCTGTTATACTGGGTTTAGTCCTAGGCACAAGAGTTATACCACATAAAATATAAACAAATCCCTACTCAAGAATTCTTGAGTTTATATTCTAGATGCAATATTTCCAACAAAAGTTTAGTTGGCAAATCTCAAAATGGCTGCTAGTTTTTGAAATACAGACATACTTACATTGCAGAGACATATGCTTTCCTATATATAGATAATGCCAGATGTTCCCTAAATGGACTCTTTGAATAGCTCAAAAGCCTCTTTTGGCTCCTGACAAATGAGAAGCCACAGGGGTAATTAGTAAAATGGTAACACCGGGGCCAGGGATTTAGCTCAGTGGTGCCAGTGCCTGCCTCAAAAGTGCAAGGACCCAAGTTCGACC